CGTACGCCAGGGTCATACATCGAGAAGCAGGAATACATGTATCGCTGGTCTTGGGACCATGCCCAGTTTGACTTTGGCTCAGCGCAGGCCCGCGAAGTCCTGATCCATCTATGGGCGGGTCCGTTGGTGAACAGCGAGGCAGAGGTTGTCGTCGGTGATCGTACGATCACGGTGCGTCCACATGCATGCTCCCGCAGCGCCTGCTTGGAGAAGTTACTGACGATGGAACTTGGGGCACTACAGAATGTTGACTTTGCACTCTGTTTTGCTGTTGTCTCGCACCGTGACGAAGATGTCTTTGATACAGTGGAAAGCTTCTTTGAAGAATCTACCTCCTCTGAATATGCATATGTGAGTGCTGGGGAAGGTGATGCGAGTGGGCTGGCCACAGGCTTGATGAGCCTGTGCTCTTCGCCCAGATCGTCAGGCATGGATCGGAGCGAGTCCGTTCTCCACACTCCCACGGGGCCTGCCCCAGAGGTGCGTCCAGGAGAGCTGCCTCCACCATACGACTGGATACCGACAGCGCAGCGGGAAAGGGAGGATGCAAAGCTTCGAGAAGCCGAGCTGGAGGCGTGCCATGCGTGCCAGGCACCTAGTGCTGAGCCGGAGGATGTGTCAGCTGCAGAGCAGACGCCGAGCTCGGCAGATTTCGAGTTGCGCCAAAGCTTTGCCCCCTGTTACACCATGTCTCTTGGCATGAAGAAGACGAAGGCCCAATATGCCCTACCACACCCATACCATGTGCAGAATCTCATCCGTGCAATGGCAGCCAGGCTGCCACAAGTCTGACGCCTCTGACCGTTGTGGACGGGACGTGCAGGTGTCACTGTAGTGAACTTTCAAGTCGTCGCCGGAGGAGCGCGCCTCCTGGCTGAGACAGGTCTGCCCAAAAAGTAAGTGCACATAAGTGCACCGTTGCTGCCAAAGCGTTGCTTTCAGATGCAAAAGGCCGCTGCTTTGCATTTTTGTTTGCATATTTGTTTGCGCGCCTTGTCCTTTTCCATGTCAGGGCAAAGGTGAAGTCTGACGCCTGGCTTGCCAAGAAGGAGGCAGAGGCTGAGGAGGCAGAGGCGGCCCGAATCAAGGCCTTGAAGGCCCAGGAGCGCCAAACGCCGGCAGTTTGTGTTCATCTTGATACCTCCTTCATCCCTTCTAACACTACTCTCGTAGGTAGCTTGGAATGACTGTGAACTCGCTGCCACTGTCCGCGAGGAGTGGGATGACATTCCTGACACCAAGCCTGGAGGAGATGCTGAAGGCTTCAGTCCTGAGTTCACGGCTCAGGGAGTCTTAGTCTCTTCGTCTCTTAGTGTCTTAGTCTTACTTAGGCTAGAACTTGCCTCGCATTTTCTGCCAACCCAGGCTTGAGCCTCTTGATGCAATAGAGGAGGAGGAGGCTGAAGAGCTTTGACGATTTGTTTTGCTTGTCGCAGATGGTCGCAGCGTCGCTGACACAAGCATCGCGCTTCGCTTGGGTTATGTTCTGCTTGCAGTTCGCTTGGTCCGTGCTGGGGTAGGTGGACTTTTTAGGCAGCTTCGCGTTGCAGTGAATAGCCTTGCAGTGCCGTGACCTGTTTGGAAAGTTGGACTCACGATGCATCGTGCTGCAGATTTGTCGACGGGATGTGGGAACGGACTGCGAACGGCAGCGGTGCGTGATTCTTCTGCCGCGGTGGGGTCATTAGTTTCGTTCGCGAGTGCATATACACGACATGCGTGCGAACTGCCGAGACACAGGGATGCATCTTTCCAAAATGCGGGACCAGACATACTCCTCATGCATCCGAGTGTGGTCAAATGAAATCAATGATAAAAAGTAGCTGGCGCGAGGTGCTGAACTCAAAACAGCATATGACCCGGCACGTCACTTTCCGGGATGTCTGTTATCTCACAGCGATGCTTGGGTGAGCATGTGACTCAGACGACTTTATGAAAGGCCGCTTCCCTCAGCCTCGTATGCCGGGAATCGAAATCAAGAAACCTCAGGTATCGAGGTGTCTGCCATGTGCCAAACTTTCTTTGGTCTCGTGCCAAGCTGATAAAACCCATGCAAGCAAGTTGTACGGCTGTGCAGGGTTGGTGCCCCAAGGCATGTATGAAGACTAGCGGTTGTGTTTTTCGCGGAAGGGCACAACTCATCAGGCATGCCCAGCAGCTGTGCAGCACGCATGCTGCCAACAGCATCTTTCGCATGCTTTTGGGGTGGCAGACATGCTTTTCATTTCACGGCGAAGAGCCACAGGCAGATGCTGGGGCATACAGCCCTATCCTAGAGCCACTCAGCTGGGGGCTTACTCATGACGGATGAATGTTTGAATGTTCATGTGCAAAGAAGCGCAAGCTTCGCAGTGTGGCATGCCGAAGCCAGACAGTTCATCAGTCTCGGATTCTCGGAGGACCTTTAGCAACAGGAGCCGCCTAATGTCCAAAGTCAAAACCAGACCGTGTTACTTTGTTCTGTTGCCTGGAATAAGCCGGCTGATGGGGAGCGATAAGCACTTGTCGCAAGAAAATGAGCTTGCGGTTTTGTGTTAGGAACGTCCGTGTGGTGGCGGGTAGTTGTTGATTTGATTACTTGACCGTGTGTGCGTGTATGCGTGTGTGCGTGTGTGCGTGTTGTGTGTGTGTGTGTGTGTGTCTCTGTGTGCTGTGTGTGTGTTGTGTGTGTGTGTGTGTGTGTGTTGTGTGTGTGTGTGTGTTGTGTGTGTGTGTGTGTGTTTTGTGTGTGTGTGTGTGTGTTGTGTGTGTGTGTGTGTCTCGCGTATTCTGGGTGCAGAAGTTCGGCCGAAGGCTCACTTCGTTGGTCTCAGCCACTGAAGTGCAGCCTTGACAGTACTCGTAGTCGACCTGCACTCATTCCGCGATGCACTGGGCGATGCACTATGAGAACAGAGGCAAATACGATGCAGCCGATCTTTTGGACCCAGACGAGGCGTGTGTTGTGACTGGCTTGCCAAGCCGATTGCGTGAATGGATCAAGCTGAATCAAGCTCTTGGCAGCTATTGGTTGATGGGCACACTTTATGCAGGACATGCAGGTGCTGCGTCAGGCCGGCTCGTGCTGTTGATAGACGCTTACTGGCCCGGAGTTGCGGCACGCTCGAGGTCCGCAAGACCATCATCGAAGCTTTTGGCAATACCCTTACGCAGGTTTCGTTTGGCACCAGCGTATCTGGGAATCTGCAGCCCCTCCGTATCAAGCCGGTTGACAGACCTGCCTCTCAGGTGGTACAGTTGGAGGGGCTTCGGGGTCGGCAGATGCCGGCATTGACCGCTCACGCAGCAAGCTTAGCTGGCTTTGCAAGTCTTATGTGCGTTCCGTCGCCAAATGCGAGGTGATGACGAGCTCTTCAACGCCGAGCGAGCAAAGGGCATGACCCAGGGCGAGGCTTCGCATACGCGATTCAGGTAATACGGCCTCGTGTAATCCTTCGAATATTGCATGGATGGATGTAGAAGGTTGATGCAACAGGTTTGCGAGTGGGAGGCCGCTAAATGAAGGCAACGTTGCCTGACACTTCCGACTAGTCATTACCAGTTGTCGGCAGCTGGGAATTCCATGGTCTGATTGCTGATCGTGAGCCGTTTCCTGAACATTGAGGCAGCCTTCAACGCCATGGGACAAGGGGATGACGCTGAGTACCACGGTGAGGCAGATACGGTTTGGATGTGCTTTCAATCAACTCGATGGTTGGATGTAGTTGGTGAGCACTTCTTGGCATGTAGCTGCACCATGCTTGGCGAGCGATCAGTGACTCGCGTTGTATCACGGCAACGTTGCCGGGGCCAGTCAGAGGAAACGCCCGTGCAACATTGCAGTACTCGCAGTGGCTTCATGTCCTCCATGTTCAAGTGTCTCAAGACATTGAATGACGATTGTAAACCCACACAACCCTTTGCCCGACTATGTATTGCAGTGCTTCTTGCTGACGTTTGCTGCCTAGCGGTTCGGGGCTTCTTGTAACCCTGCTGGCAGGTGTTTCTGGAGAAGAGGAGGTACGAGTGGGAGGACAAGTACAAGCCGCGGAAGCCGAGATTCTTCAACAGGGTGAAGACCGGGTTTGAGTGGACCAAGTACAACCAAACCCACTACGACCACGACAACCCGCCTCCCAAGTGGGTACAAGGACCGAAGGGGATACAGAAGAGGGAGAGAGAGCGAGAGCGAGAGCGAGAGCGAGAGCGAGAGCGAGAGAGCGGAAGAAAACAAGACTCTTGGGACTCGAGCGCAATTCGGTGCGACCCCCTCGCTACATTCGCCAGAGAGGGAGAAGAAGAGGAGAAGAAGCAGGGTAGAGCAACAGTTTTGTGTTCGTTGGAGTGGCAGGATACAAGTTCAACATCTTCTATCCCGATTTGGTTGACAAGAGCAAAGCGCCAACATACCATGTTGAGCGGTCGGACACGCAAGATACGGCACGAGCCCAACAATGTTGCTTGTTTACCTTGCCTGCAATGGGCCTGAGGTGCAACATGCCTTCTGAGGTCATGCTCCGCTTCAGTGCAGGCCCCCCATACGAGGATGTCGCATTCAAGATCGTCAATCGCGAGTGGAACCTCTCCCACAAGCTGCCTGGCAGAACAAAGCCAAGCAGTCAAGTTGTACACATGTGACGCATGAGCCCACGCTGCGGAGGTTTGGCTTCCGAGTGGTATTCGATCGAGGAGTATTGCAGCTCTACTTCAATGTGAAGCGCTGGCGCTACAGACGCTGAGCGCCGTTCCTGCGCGTGGTAGTGTAGTCGGTTGCCGAGGAGCCATAATGAGCCATACCTCAACATGGGGTCGTGATTGCAAGCCAGTATGCCTGCTCCAACGAGATCCACAGGTGCAGAAGCGCCTTTTCGCCAGCGGTAGCCTATGCAAAAGCATTCTCAGCATCGGCGCAGGGTTGCGAAGCCATGCGAAGCCCACATATTGCTTGTAGCATGGCGGGTGACTCTGGCAGAGAGGCTCAGCTGCAGGCCAGGGGCTCCTGGATCTAAGATACTGCTCAGGTCACGAGCTCTTGCCGGACGATGTGGACCCCAGCTTATATAAACATGACTCGACCAATGTGCCGCTAATGTGCCCAGTTGTGAGTTTCTGCGGACAAGCATGGCATTACATGCTGTAGGCGTTAAGCACTTTGCTGGCTTGTCCGCGTGCAAGGCACGGGCGATTGCGATCGACCTTGGTGACATCTTAGTTTTCGAGGACACAAGGGTTTGGAAGGATTGGCCTGTTTTTTGTTCAGCCGAGTGACCATCAAGTCAGAAAAAGTGCTCCTGAGTCACTTCGCCTAAGTCGAAAAAAAGAAAGCCACGGGTCAGGAACGCCTCGGAGCCAAGTTGAAAACGGAAAAGACATGCCAAAGGAAAATCGGAAGTCCCGAAAGCTCATGATCGCAGATGTGCTAGGGTGTCGGAATTCAGGATTGTACACAGAGAGAGAGAGAGAGAGAGAGAGAGAGCAGAACCCCAGCCTCCGAAGGGCCAAATGAGCCAGGCGCCCACTCAAAACGAGATGGGCGCCAACACAGACATGACCAGGACATCGCACGCGCCCCTGGGGGCGGCCTCCCTTCGGGGGGGTCATGCGTGGGAGAGAGAGAGAGAGAGAGTTTTCGCTTCTTGATTTGCAGCTCCTACCTTGGTCAGTCGTGCTTCTTTGAATGTTCACAGCCCGAAGTACCCTCAAAAAACTGCAGAAACCCAGTAGAGGGGAAGCCCAGCAGCCATGGAGATCACTTGCGAGACCTGCCTGTATGGGGGGGCCGTCTACCACAAGGGGCACACGTACGGCGATGGATGCCGCAAGCAGGGGCAGCGCCCCTACAAGAGATGGGGGAAGGTGGGGAGCAGAGCCGGAGATAGGGCGCAGACAGAACCATCAATAGGGCAGACGGGGGAAGCGACCCGAAGGGCGACCTCACCGGGACATGCAGCAACGAGCGCAGCGGCAAGCTCGAGCCGGCAGACAAGCAACCTCACCCGAGCCAAGGGGGACCAGACATCCAGGGACGAGCTGACAGTGAGGGAGATGAAGGAGACAGTCTTGGTGTGGATCCGTACCTGCCGGCCGCAGAGAGAGGACAAGGTGCGACAGAAGCTCAACACTGCCACGGACGAAGAAGTTCGAGCGAAATACGTCAAAGTCATGCGCAAGCAGCGCAAGCAAGAGGAGACCCCGAAACGCGAGAGCAAGACCAGGCGGAAGAAGAATGCAATGCGCAGACAGGGGAGGAGCAAGACCCCATCAAGAAGACAGCGACCCTCAAGGCGAAAGACAAGCAGTCCAATCCGAAAGGAATCTGGACGAAGCAGCGGCAGCAGCGGAAGCCGTCACACAAGGCCACGGAAAAGAGCAACAACATCGCAGATTCAAGTTGGGGGAACTGCCCCCCACCAGCCAAGCAGCAATAGTCCGATCCGACAAGAATCCGGACGAACGGCCAAAGCCAAACACTCCACCAGCAGGGCAGCTGCGCGTCCGATCCGCCAGGAACCCGGACGATGCAAAAGACTAGACGCATCGCCGCAGAGAAGAAGCACAGCGGCGCAGCACAAGCAGAGCGGGGGGAACACCACCTAAGGAGCACAACCTCAAAAGTCCGATCCGACAGGAACCAGGACGAAACTTGACAACCCCGCGCGACGCGGAGGACACGTGCCCAGACAGCGACAGCGAAAGCTTGACACCCCAACGGAACCCACAGGATGGACCATGGAAGAATACGCGAGGGCACTCAAAACCATGCTCAAAGAAAGAGTGCCACAAGCTGGACAGAGAATGCTCCAGCTCGTGGAGAAGTTCCCGCGCAACGCCCAGAACTACTACGTGCAAACGTGGGACATCCTCAAAAAACAACAAGAAAGACGGCGACGAGCTCGTGCGATAGCACGACGAATGCCTCAGCAAACCACCCAGAATAAAGCTCCTGCCCATACAAACACAGAACTACCCAGCGTAGCGCTCCACAAGCAAGCAGACCAGCCCCCAACGCCCGAGCTGCCGCAACTGACCCAAGCAGGGGGGGAGCCTGAGACGCTGGCGGGCAAAGTCAAGCGTATAGCGCAACAGTGGCCGCAAGACAGACAGCAAGACGCAAGGGCAGCAGCCCCCGGCCGCGCGGAAGCAGCAGAAGCAGACGCAGCCGCCGCAGCACCAAACAGGACCCAAGGTGCAGCCATGTTGGGAACACCCGACGCGCAGACAAGGGGGAACACTCCCACTTACGATGGCGCACAAAAACCCAACGAGCCCGCCACGCCCCCAGATTGGGGGAACGACAGCAGCGACGCCAGTGACCCCCGGTCACGGACGCGACGGAGCCCCGACGCATGCCCAAGCCAACCCCCAACGCCGCCAGAGTGGACGCCAGCAGGTCCAGAGCGACTGCAGGAACAAGTCAGGCGGCTAGCCAGCATGACTGCAACCGCACGAATTTTGGGGGGAACAAGACAGGCGGCGAAACAGCCCAGCAAACGCTGCAAGGACCCCCTTGACGGGAAGACAAGCCAACAAACTGCGGAAGTGGCACATAAAAAGAGTCCTGCGACAAGCAGGGCGCTACCGCGAGGCAGATGCAGGGGAGGACGGGGGAAGACCCACCACGGCACAACAGTGGGAGCAGCACAGGGCCGGCCAAGACCCTTGACAACCTCGACGTCTGAGCTGAGTGACAAACGGAGAGCAGATGAGGGGGAGTTGAGGGAGGATTTCGGGAGGTTTTTGATCAGGTTTGGCAAGAGTTTGCGGTACAGATACGAAACATGTCACCACATTGCTCAGTTGCTGTCCATACTAATCCAGCCCTTCGTTAGGGGCACATCCGAGTTCCATTCCTCGAAAAACTGAGTCAAGCTGACCCGTGGAAACCCGGGAAAGCCAATACTATACACCAGCTCACTGGGACTTCAATTCGAGGGCGGGGAAAAGCCATACGACCCCATCTTGTATCAGTGCACGTTTTTTCCCAGGAGCCTTTGGGGAGTGGGCGGGTGATGTTGCGGGGGGAAACTAGCTTGGTGACTCGCCCGCTCTCAGTGTTTTCGATCAAAGTATCGTGGAGTGGAGGAGTATGTGCCGTCAGATACTGTGTGGCTGTAGGTTGCGTATGGCGGGGGGAACACCCTCCGGTAACAAGCACCTTGTTTAGAACACGTGCAGACTCCAAGCTCCTTTTGTCTCACGCCGACCAGACCGTGACACTAAGGGCGCGCCCAGCGCGCGGAGGTTCAGGGACTTCTGCCCTGTCCTCCATGCCCGGCAGAAGAAGAAGAAGAAAAAGAAGAAGAAGAAGAAGAAGAAGAGAGAGGGCTTAGGGCAAAAGAAAAAGTTCAAAAAGCTTATGATCTCGATGTGCTATGGTTTAGGGTTAGGGTTTCAGGGTTTGGGGTTGAGGATTTGGGCATTACAGGGTGCAGCGTGGCAGAATTGCAGACGTAAGTTAGCATGCATTGGAGCGCTGCAGGGATTTCCACAGCAGGATCAAAGCTCCAGGCTGCGTCTTAACTTTTAGGGAACTTCTTCAGGTGGGGCTAAGCAGCTAGTAGCCTTCGGTGGGTTCTGGACTTCGACATTCCGGCTGAGGAGCGTGCCAGACGCCAAAGCATCCAAGTACGCCAACCTCATTGTGCAGGTGCTGGAGGAGGGCAGATTGTCTTCAACGATGGCTGGCGAAATGGTGGGCCAGTGGGACCACGCGTCAGCCGTGTGCTCAGGCCCATCTTGCCGCGCCTTTGCTTGATCTGGCCGCGCCTTTGCTTGGCCGCTACGTGAACTCATAGCTGCAGACTCGCAAGGGCGCCAGCTTCCGCCGTGGCCTGTCCTCAAAGCTGCTCTACTGGGCTTTTTGGTTTTCCTGCAAGGCCGAGGTCCTATGGAAGTGAGAGCAAGCCAGACTGTTGCTCGCAGAGCGGCTCTGCTGTTCGTAGATGCGGCCCTCAGCCCAGATGGCTGCAGTCTTGGTGGAATGGCTTGGGGCCCCGACTGGTGCTTCTTCTTTCACTTGAAGGTTGGCAAACACAGCTGCCGCTTGACCCCATGGACGGCAGGCCACATCATTAATGAAGCTGAGGCGCTCGCGGCACTCATTTGGATCCAAACCTTGAGATACCACTTGCAAGGGCTTGACATTTTCCTTTTCGTAGGCAGTAAGGCTGCTGAGGGCATTTTGCTCAAAGGGTGCTCTCGTTCAGCGCAGCTCACGGTGATCGCCTCCCTTGTTCTGGAAAACAGTGCACCAAGGAAACGCGTCAGTGTGGATAGGTAGAGTTCCCAGCAGAGGACGCTCCGAGGTTGAACCGCTCTGACAAGCGTAGACGCTTGCACCAAGGTCAAGCTTAGAGTGACTGCAAAGAATCCAGTGCTTTCACGAGTGAGTTTCCATTGTGTTTTTGAGTTTTATCTCTTTCTCAATTTCTCTCCTCTCTTCTTTCCTGTGACTCGGGAAGCAGCGCAGAAGCATCTGTGCAACATTGCCGTAGGGAAAGGTCGCATCATGTCTGATGGAGTGCTCTGCCTCTGACGAAGCATGATTTCACAGTCTACGAGCGCGCATGCCAAACAGCTTGTGCCGAAGGTAGCAGCCTCTGATCTGGGATGTTTCGTCCTCCTCCTGGATACCCTCCATGGAGACATAGTCGTCGTCCGGGTCGGAACCAGCCGCGCGGCGTCCCTCCTCAACTTTCTGCGTCCCCGACTGCGGGCTGTTCTGCTCCCCTGGAGCCCACCTCAAAGAGGCGCAAGCTTGACGAGGCGCATGGCTACACTGAGCTCCATGCGGCGGTGGGTAGGCCAGTCCTTTCGGGACGTAGCCTTGCAGGGCCTATGCCCACGCAGGAAACCAATTTGTTAGCTCAGCTCTTGATGGGCAGCTTTGGCTAAGTCGTCCTGCTCTTCTTACGCTTCGCGTATCAGAATGATTTCTTGGGCCTCTTGGGCGAGGCGCCGCTCCCAGCGGCCTTAGGTTTGATTCTGACGGTTTCTGGTCTGGTCAATAACCCCAACACTTTGCCAGTAGTGTGGTTAGCTGCGTGGCGAGACAGGCATATACAAGAGCGAGAATTTTTGCCGGGAGACCAAAATCCTTTCTTGCGCAGGGTTAGGAAAGGTACAGAGCGGCTGGCTCCGAGACCGGCTCCAAGAGGCCGTCGTACAGCTGGCGGCAAAGAAAAATTATCGCTTTCGGGACCTTGTGCAATCTCGCTGACATCTTCGCTGCAAGGGTTCCATCCGAGCTCCTGAATCAGTGCAGATGGCCTGTCAACTCTTCGAAGGTTTTGTGTGTGTGCTCCAACAACGAGCTTCCTTGCTTTCATTTGTGGTTTGCTGCGCTAAAGGAGCTAAAGAGCGAACCGGATGGGTCCCGAAACTTATTGTTTTCATTTTCTCTGCTCAGAGTGTTTCAAACACCTTGCAGTCGTTGTTGCTGGAATGTGGCTTTTCGGCAGATGACGCGGTGCGTTTTACAACTCATTGCTTTCGCAGAGGAGTTGGGGTGGACGTCCTGGACGCAGAAGGCACTACATGTTCTCTTGGCAGGAGATAGCTGGAGACGGAGAGGCGTGTGTGGCTTGCCGGGCATGCTCGCATGGGCGAGTGGTCTTCCAAGGCGAGCACAGCTCACTACGCTGCTGTAGACGAGCAGGCTTGCGCAGGAATGGCTTTCAAAATTTTGGAGGCCTCCGACGATGAGCGTTGATTCGTGATTCACTCAAACCACCCAATCTCGGTGCCAAGGGTACCCTGGGAATTTTATCCCGGCACCTTTGCATGGGCTGACCCCTTGAGAAAAGGCCTTGAGCAGTACTTCTCATGCAACATGTCACTCGTCATTGCGGGGAAACTGTAACTAAGCACTCTTACTCGACGTCGTACGGATTCGTGTTGTCAGCGCATCGGTGAGCTCCTGAGTTAGCCACGAGAGCTGCTCATAGGGTTCTTGGTGAGCTAGCGTGTTTACCCGGCAGTCCCACAGGCCAGTAAGCAACAGAACAAACAAAGGGGGTAGGGCTGCTAGGTGTAGTCAAGGTTTCCGAATTTAACGGTATCCGGGCTTTGGATGGTCAAGTTCAATTCCTATTTTCCCGCCTGTTTTATGAATCGCGCGGTTTTGTTTTCTGGTTTGTTGGTTTTCGCCGAGATTGCCAGGGCCCGACTCTGCGGCCTTGTTGAGCAACAGCGACTTCGACACCACTTGCCTGCATATGCGGTTTGTGCACATTTCAGAAGACACGGCCGAGTTTTTGGGGGCGTCTGTTCACCAATGGCACTCACTGCCCGATCTGCTTGAAACAGTTCGCGGCGCCAGCCCGCTAGTCATATCAGACACCCCATGTGCAGAAACTCTGTTCTGATCTCACATGGATCTCGCCCCGGAGGTTTCACAACGCGCCACCGTCTTTGCACCTGCCACCCTGCGATTGCCGGGAGCTGTGCCTTGGCCCAGATGCTGGAGCCGCCCTGGCTGAGGTGAATATCTGCCCATGTCTCGTATGCGGGCCACGCCCGACTTGTCTGACCACTCACCTTGAGGATGAGGAGGACTCCATCCTTAAGGCTGCCCCTCCACATCCGGGCAGCTCAAGCATCTCCCGCACTTGGTTCCGCAGAGTTGCCTGATTGGTCCCCGGCGCTGTCGTTTGGTCGCACCCATTCGCCGCGTTCAGGGACGCCGATTGGCTCCCAACTGTCAGCGTTCCAGCCCTCGGCCCTGCTCCACACACTCTGCTTGGACTGAGGGCTCTCTGTGCTGAGCTTGTCTAAGCACTCGAGGCCCCTTTCAACTTCGCAACCGAACTTGCGCCTTCCTGCGTTGTCGTAGAATACAGACTTGTTTGGGAAATGCCTTATAGGGGTCCAAGTCTCCAACCTGTTATTGAATGACCCCGGCTCAGCTGCGAACTCAGGAGCAGTTGAGGTAAATTCTCAATCCATGAGAGTGTCTGCTTTGACTTCTGGGGCTGTGCGATGCAGCGACACCTGTTGTCTCAGGACATACTCGGCTTGTGGAGGGAAGGTGACTTGTCCAGGCCCAAGCATCCATGATTTCTTGCCCGCTTCAGGCATCTGTAAAGACTTAGCGAGTTGACTTTCAAAACAGGCCCCGGCATGCCCCGACACTAGTCACGAGGTTGAAGTTCGACGAGCTGCTGGCAGCCTCCTCCCACCGCTCAGTCACATCCTCACATTGTTGTGAGGGAGTGGGGTTGGATGGCATGCAACTTTTTGCAGGCAGAGGAGACCCTTCGCCACACGAAGCCGACCACCCTGAATGGTGGCTGACCCCTAAGAGACTCTGTACGACTGAAGGCAGTGGCTACAAACTTGGGACGACTCCATAGAAACCGTCATGAACAGTTCAAAGACTGATTCAGTATTTTCCTGACTGGCTGGGCCGAGGTTTGGTCCTGTGCTCACCCTAGCGATTGTTTTGATTACAAGCATGCGATATCATGCGACCTCATGTTTAAAGCGAAGCTGCGAGGTATGAAATCGCTCGCATGCGGAGGTCTGGATACACGGAGGCTCGGTGATTGCCCGTGGCACTTGCAGGTACTCGCAAGCGTTTTGCGTCTCTTGAGTTGGGCACCACAGTCCAGATCTGCCCAGCTAGGTGCAAGTAGCTCCCGGTACCTTGCAGGACACACTAAGTGCCGCGCGGGGAGGCCTGGCACCTGCGCCATTTTCTTGCGTGGATAGTGCAAGAGCGACTGATCTTGTTCTAGCGGGCTCTAGCCAGAAATGAGTTTGGTTCTGGAGATGTCAGTGCCGCGGGTTGACTTTAGCTTCTTTGTTTGGAGCACGTGCCAAGCATTGCAGGCCTAGAGCGTGGCTATGGTCACTTTTGCATGTGGGATCAGGACATCATTAATGTCTGGCGCTCGGCTTGTCTGAAGCTGCCGCGCCACAATTGCGTTTAGTGAGGTTTTGCCAGGGCCCCCCGACTATGCGATGTTTGCTGCACAAGGCCATGCACCAGGACCTGTGGAACGGGCGCCGTGTGCGAGCACAGAGCTCGACCGTTGCTGTGCTTGGAGCGAGAATGTTTGTCAAAGCACACAAGTCAAGCAGAGCGAACAGACCCTTGCAGCTCAGGTGCTTCCATGCCGATGGTCTCTCTTCCCGGTAGCAGGTGCGCTCAATCGCAGTTCAGATTGGCTGACTCGATTCCCAAAAGCCGTTTCGAGAAGGACACGAGATGATATTTGAAAGTGTAGCTGAGCTCATCGGAAATTGCCACTCAGAAACCAAGATTCAGAAGTTAAGTGGCAGAAGCTATTTCTGCTTTTCAAAGCAATGATTATTGAGGTCCATGTTGTTGTCTTCAGTTCAAGAAGCTCTAAAGCCCTGTTTCGGAATCTAAAGCTGTCGAGAGTCAGAGACGAGCCATGACTAGCCCAGTGCAACCCAACGCAAAAACCCCCGCGATCTGCGTCTGCAGCGCTCTTTGCTCCCGAAAACCCTGCCCCGGAAGTCTTGTTTACATTCTCGAACAGCCCTCGACACTTTCCTGCTCAGCAAGGGCGATCAAAGTTGAACGTGAATAGGGCTGGGGTCCGAATTCATTAACTCGATGATAATTCCTTAAACATGGCTACTCACAGCAGGGTTGCCGAAATTTGCCGGATCATGATTCCGTGGTTGCCAAATCCGTGCGAGACGCAGAGGCAGAGCTAGTGCTGTGCACAGATTCTCCAAAATCCAAAGGATGGCAGTTCTTCTGGAACACGCCATCTTTCTGGCATGGATCTCAGAGTTCATCGGTTTGCGCATCTCGGTTGCCGAATGCTCCAGAGCATTGTGGAGCCTTTTCTTGTATGGTAAGGCTCTTGTAGGTCAACAGAGTTTTCTCAGGCTCAGAGAGCTGGTCCAGTTCAGACGCAGACGCCTCAGAAAAAACTGGGGCTGGCACCGCGACTTTGGATGGTCCAAGTCATCGTAAGGGTACCCAGCAGACTACAGCCACTGTCTTGTTGCTGATGCGAGGCTACCCTGGATTCTTGGGTGCGTCTTGGCTTAGTGGCGGTTGGTTATACTTGGGCACGGCATTCACAAGAAGGGCTGGCACTAGGGGCGCCAATATAGGTCATTGTGCAGGCAGGCAGAAAGGTGCAAAGGAAAGGCGGGCAGGGTATGTCAACGAAAGCCTGGGGCTGTGCATGGACGGACTGTGAAATGTGACACATCTTTTGGGTCTTGAAAGTTTTGGCAGTCTTTCTCGCGTTCTTGGTCAGTCGGGGAATGTCGGGGACCATAGAGCTTGACGTGGGGTGGTAGGGCATCATGTGTAATTCCAGGTGGGCACTTTCTCAGGGTGGGCTCAGGCCCGAGATGCTCAGGGGGCGAGCATCCGGGCACTTCAGAGGTCGATCATTTTGAGCACTTCTGCCCTGGTCCTGCTGGCGCCTCAAATTCCATATCCACAGATATCACAGACATCCGCATGGCACTGTCGCGCTTCGCTCAGGTCTTGATGCTGCACACCATGTTTGCTTTCGGGAGCAAAAGGCCTGCTTTCCAATGGCTTGATGCTTGCGGCGAAGTGTGGCCGCATTTATTCCCGGTTCTCTCTGAGTTATAATCGCTGTTTCACCCTCTTACTCGTGCCTTGCCACAGAAGCAGATTGTGGGGTATAACAAAGCACCGTCAGCTTGGAACCGTGCACATCAGTCACATCAGAGCTAGCGGACACGCTCAAGCCATGTCGGAGCAACTGAGCCAGGGATCGCAAACTGGCCCGGGATGTCGCGCTGGTTCCCTCCCCCAGCTGTTGGCAACGCTCGTGCTGTGTTACTGATGGTACTGGCCGAAGAAGGTCGCAGCGCAGCAGTGCAACCGATGCTTCTTGCCGAGGTCCAAGGAGCTCGAAATGAGCAACCCGGCTCCGCACTGCGAGGGGCGGATGGAAGTGCATGCCTCATCACACCTGATTCAGATCCTCGTAGTTAATGCTGTGCAAACACAATGAAACGTCGACGCCACCAAGACATCCGAGGCATGTGCGCCTGTGGTGAGAAAGCGGCACTGCTTCATGTACCGTCAACCATGAAGCCAGAGTCCCAGCACTGTTTGTCAGAGGAATTGCATTTTTTTGAGGATGTTTTCGTTTTGTTTGGACTTTTTTTGGTTTTTTTGTTTCCTTGGTTTTCGTACGGCAGAAAGGACGGAAGGAAGGAGGGGGTTGAAGGAAGGAAGGAAGGAAGCAAGGAAGCAAGGAAGCAAGGAAGCAAGGAAGCAAGGAAGCAAGGAAGCAAGGAAGCAAGGAAGCAAGGAAGCAAGGAAGCAAGGAAGCAAGGAAGAAAGGAAGCAAGGAAGCAAGGAAGCAAGGAAGCAAGGAAGCAAGGAAGCAAGGAAGCAAGGAAGCAAGGAAGCAAGGAAGCAAGGAAGCAAGGAAGCAAGGAAGCAAGGAAGCAAGGAAGCAAGGAGGAAGGAAGCAAGGGAGCAAGAAAGCAAGGGAGGAATCAAGACAGGAAGCAAGGAAAGAATGAAGGAAGGAAAGAACGAAGGAAGGAAGGAAGGAAGGAAGAAAGGAAGGAACCCCCCCCCCCCCCCCCGCTTCTTTTAAGCCGTGCAAAGCGTGCTTCAAAGCCTAAACCCATCATGTGAGCATTGTGTTTGAAAATGGGGGGGGCTGCCCCCCCCCCCAACCCCCCCGCTTCTTTTAAGCCGTGCAAAGCATGATTCAAAGCCTATGAATCTTGTTGAAACCCATCATGTGAGCATTGTGCTGCAAATGGGGTGGGGGGGGGGGGGCTGTTTTTCCTAGGAAAAACCAAGAAAACAAACCAAAAGAATTACAAGAATAAATCCTACGAAAAGTATTATGAGTCCTATGACAACATTGGACGGAATGTAGCTTTTCTCACGACAAGCCAAGAAAAACGAACCAAAAACAACTCATGAATAAGAAATCCTACGAAACGTAGTACGAAGAATCCTATGGAAAAATATAGAGGGAATGTAGCCTGTCCTAGGAAAAGCCAAGAAAACTAATAGGAAACCCTACGAAAAATAACATGAATCCTAGGAAGATATATAGACAATGTAGCTTTTTCTTAGGGAAACCAGGAAACGACCCCCCCCCCCCCCCACAGGGTCCTCGTTCACGATTTGGAATGCGCACTGCGCCTAGGCGAGAGCGACATGCAGGGCCACGCGGAAGACCGAATTAACCGAGAGGGTCCTCGTTCACGATTTGGAATGCGCACGGCGCCTAGGTGAGAGCGACAGGGCCGCGCGGAAACACCCAAAGGGTCGTCGTTCAGGAATTGGAATGCGCACGGGGCCTGAGCCAAAAGCCCCAACCAAAAAAAAAAAAATTCCCAGAAAAAAAATCCTTATTTAATTCCGCGCCCCTTGTCAGAGCCGGAAATCGAGAGCAGCATAGCCCAGCATAGCAGCATAGCGCGGCATAGTGTTTCCATTGCTGGAGGCTGTGGCCTTGGGTGCAAAGACTCTTCAGCTTTCACAGCCCCTTGGGAAACAGGAGCAGTACGTGCGCACAAAGATACGGATGATACGGACATGTGGCAACTCGTCATGTAGGCTGGGCGCAGCTACCAGACGCATGTCAGTTCTAGTCTGGTAGGCGAGGTTCATGTGAAGCCAGTCACCTTGCGATTATGCTTGCACCAAGGTCCGCCCTTTCTCCCGAAAGCGGAGGAAGAAGCATTGTTCACGCTGGGCCTCAGCAACAGCGAGTCACATCTGCTGTATCTTCGTAACAAATACAACTCACCAAGACGATACCTGTAGATAGAATCAGAGAGGACAGGCCAAACCAGACAGCTCAAACAGCAATCATTTGCCACACGCGGCTGCGTTCCGAAGTATTCTTAGCCGCAAATCTCCGCAAAGCAGCGGAGGTCTCGGGCAGAGCAGGGCGAGGACTGATGGTAATTGCTCGCCTCTTTCCTGATTCCTGAAGTGGTTGGGTAGATTCATGCGGGGTTGGCCAGGAGATTGGCGGCGGCTTTTGGGGTGCCGAGGGTATCCAGCCCTGAGATGAATCATTCTAAAGGTGCAGTGAAACTTTTTAAAGAGCTAAGGTGAGGAGGAGATGGCCACCATGAGGCAAGGAACGCTGAGGCCAACAGTTTCAACACGTTCCGCTTCGTTTCGCCACGCCAACATGTTGCAGAGCCGAGCGGGGCCGAGGACCTCACTGGGGCTAAACTTGTCAGCCTGTCACAGGTGGGCCATGTCCGTCGGAGCGACGCTCGTGTCGCAGAACTGTGCCGCGCCCCCGATTCAAGTCATGTCTGCCACTGGCGAAGTTGGGCTGTGCCAATGCTGTACTTGCATAGGCGACTATGCCCACAAACAACGGGAACTATGCTGGCCGGTTCCTAAGCCTTCTCGGACCTCTATCGGTTCGGGAAGAGGAGTTGCAGTCTACTGTAGAAATTGGGGGAATTAGGCGGCATGCGGATTAAAAATCAATTATTCAGGATGAAGAAATAATTTATTCTGTTCTTCCGACGGAGAGAGGTAAGGGGAGGGAGGGAGAATCTTGAAGGAAGGGCGGAAGGGCGGAAGGACGGAAGGAAGGAAGGAAGCAAGGAAGCAAGGAAGCAAGGAAGAAAGGAAGGAAGAAATCAAGAAACAAAGAAAGAGAAAAACAACAGAAAGAAAGCAAGGAAGAAGTCGTGCCAGCTTGCTTCAAAGCATACGCATCTTTTCGAAACCCATTATGCGAGCACTGTGTTTGCAAATGGGGGGGGCCCCCCAACAAACCCCCTGCTTTTTTTAAGTCGTGCCAGCTTGCTTCAAAGCATACGCGTCTTTTCGACGCCTGTGATGCAAGCATTGTGTCTGCAAATGTGGGGGCTGCACCGCCCCCCCTCCCCGCCCCAACCCCCCGCTTTTTTTAAGTTGTGCCAGGTGCTTCAGCATGCTTTCGAAACCCATGATGCGAGCATTATGTTTACGCATTGGGGGGGGGGGGGGGCGCGCCCCACAACCCCCCGCTTTTTTTAAAATCGTTCTGGCTTGCTTCAGAGTATACGTTTTTTTTTGGAAACTTCTAATGCCAAGATGCCAGCATTGATTTGCAGCCTCTGGAAACTCAGAAATGCTGCTGTTTACAATATTTCCATCCTCTGAAAGCGCAGAAATGCTGCGATTTACTGCTATTTATGGTATTTGCAGCCTCTGGAAACTCAGAAATGCTGCCAGGTACAGTATTTCCAGCCTCTGCAAGCGCAGCACTGCTGCTGTATACAGTATCTGCAGCCTCTCTGGAAACTCAGATATGGATATGCTGCTATTTCAGCAGTTCCCGCATAAATGCTTTATTTGTTCCGTATTTAGAGCTTGCGAACGGCCAGAAATGCTGGATTTCTGAGCGTTTACAGCCTCTTCTCCACTTGCAACAGGCCTTCGAAGCCTTCAGTAACATATTATGTCATCCCAAATAAGTTTTTTTTGATCCACCTATAAACAAGTTATTTTTTGATCCCAAATAATTTTTTTGATCCCCTACCCAAATTAGGCAGGCAAGGAAGCTTGTTCAAGATGAAGCCACGTGGTCAACAAAGTCCTTCACAATGTGCATCCCGAAGTGCCTTTGCTATTTCCAGGTGCGTGCTGCGTGCACACCTCACCAATTTCAATCTTTGATGTGGTTGCAGCTCACGATCCTGCTCAGATGTGCAGTTCGAGCAATGGAAGCGGGGTGACTCACTAACCTTAGTGGCCAGCAGCTCAGTGAGAAGCAGTGTGAAGCGGCCCTTCCGGCCTGGTTGAAAGATGTTGACGGAGCGACTCTGGGTGCCAATCATTTCCAGGTTCAGACGAACGCCCACAAGGCAGCTCAGTGCGTTCTTGAGCTTGTGCATCAGGTGATTTTGGTTTGAGCAAAGTGGCACGTTCAACAGCCACGCACAGCAGAATGCAAGGCGAGCACAGCTATTAGGCCCAACACGTGTCCAACCAATGGATCCAACCTATTCAACAATTCACTTCTTGTTAGGTTAGAGTACCTCACGATATCATGCATTGTTTCTCGCGGCTCCGTGAAGCCAATAGGACAGGAGCACAATCGCAAGCCAAGCTCCCTAACAACCTACGGACCTACGGGTTTGCAATATTTGCACCAGCGACAGCGAATCGAAAGACTTTTTTGAGCCATGCCGTCTGATGTTCCAGGGGCAAGCTTCACTGGCTTCCCCTTGCCTCCGCCACATTGGCAGCTTTTCAGAGAATCCAAAGATTCCAAGGGCTCCAAGGTCCTGGTTGCGCCACCACGCATTCCTGCGGGCGAAATCTTCGTCTTCGGTGAGCGATGCGAGCGATGCGAGCGGCAATTGGAAGATTCCCGGCAACCGCTGCCTCAACTCGATGCGGAGGAGTGGCTTTGCAACCCGGAGGCGTCGGATTTGGGCGCTGAGCTCCTGAACCTCCATGGCATGCTTCAAACAAGCTCTTTAGAACTCCTGGACTGCTTGGCGCAGAATCCGTCCGAGTACCCAACACATCTGAGACGCCTAAACCATGTGACCAAGAACCTCCAGGCCCTGCTGTACGTCTTGCAGCAACGTGAGGCGAAGGCCACAGTCCTGCAGAAGTTGAGGGAGCAGGTGAGTCGCAAGCGCGCTTTCCTCAAAGAGGCACGGGAATCCTTGCCCAATTTGCGCCAGCGGCTGGAAGACATCGGATTGCAGCCCGGCAGAACCTAGAAACAGTGACAAAAAGAGCGCTCCATCTAAATCCCCGGGATTGTGTCAATCAGTGACACTGCTATCACGGACGCCACAAGCAGCCAGTTTTCACAAGGAACAAACGGGGAGGCACTCATGAATGCAACTTTGGTTTTTGCTCGTCTCGACTCTTTCGAGTAGCTGCAATGGTTCTGAGACTGTCCCACAATGTCAGGCCACCTGTAAAGCCAATGAGCATTTGCTAAAGGAAGGCAGGGAAGATAAATACCAGCAACCCTGCCAAGCGATCAACCGAGTGTGGGTGCTTTCCAAGCAGATCTCATCCAGACCCAGTGCTAAATCCAAGACTCCACCATTGTTTCTTTGTTTGGGTTTTCAAGGAGGGGCATGCGCAGCTGTAACCACTCCTTGCATTTGTGCAGCTGCTGCTCACAGAAGCCTGCATACATCTGCTCGTGAAGTTGTTGTTCAGTGAAATGTTGTCTGAGAATTCTCGTGGTATGTGCAAACCAGCCTGCCGGGCTCTCAGATCCGAAGGATGCCCATCTCTTCATCGGCAAGATCACTCCGATTCCAAATGCGCTCCATGCGCTTGGTCGGGCTCCCTTTGCAAATTGAGCTGAGCAGACTTATGTCAACATCGGCATGTCGGGCCTTATTCTTTGTTGCCCTCTGCTGCTGAATTTGATGGCCTCATTTCGGCCCAGACGAGCAACCCGCTGTATGGCTCCAAGCTTGCCAGATTAGTCTCCCAATCGTCCACAGTGACGGAGACGTTGTCAAAATGAATGCTGGCAGCGGCCTTGACTTGGAAGCCTACGACCTGCCGTGGATCCCCGGCTGCATACGGCATCACACCACAGTGCCCAGTTCCTCTATAGACTCTATTGGGAATCCCTTGCAAATCCAGGTCTGCCGACATCTTCCACTGCTCTACAGGCACTCTTGAGGGCACGAGTTTCGCGATTGAAGCCGGATGCCGTTGCATCCTCTCTCGAATGCGAAGTTGGAAGGCTTACCGACGCCGGAGCTTGCGCCGCACGTCGACCGCCTGGTACCAAAGTCCAACCACGAGAAGTTGCTGCAGTGGCTGGATCCAGCCCGCTCGAAATTCCATTCTACTGAACCCCTGCATGCCGACGAAATGGACATGCATTTCCGTGGCTCGGTCCCAACAGGCATGTCTCTCCGAAGAAAGCGCAAGTAAGTACTGTTCATGTTCTTGTCTCTTCATCACTGTTCGCATTGTTCTGTGATGCTTTGTGGTCTTTCCCTTCTCTGAAGGTCTGCCCGATGCCGAGCTCCCCCCATCGGAGCCGTCGGAAAGGATACCCTGTGCATGCAATATTCTGCACCGATGTCCCTGTCATGCCTTGTAGAGGACCCCTCCATCTCTGCAGCTTTCGTGCCAGGAAGAGGAACTGTACTTTGAAGTTTGCTGTTGTTTGGGGGTTGCGGAACGGCATCAATGAGTGCATTCCAACTCCCAGAACATCTCCAGGTGGAGTTTCATCATGCGCCTCATCTGCAGCACGTGGTGGAGAGTCTCTTTGACTCGGAGGAGTGTCTCTTTGACTCAGCGCCACTGGCCACTTGCTGCTACTAGCATATTCAGACTAAGATGCCGATGCGACACCACAACATGTCAAAACCGCTCTTCTTATCTTCGTTGTAACATGCAGTAGCATGCAGCTTGAAGGTTGAGCCGTGGTTGCAAATAGTGACTGCAATCAGAGGCAAGCGGAGATGGCAGCTGGTCACATGGATGCACGACGGCAATGTTGCGGAATCTGCCGAACAAGCGCAGGCCTCAGAATTGACCCTTGTTAGCCGCAGTCAACACTTGTGCTGTCAAGAGAGGCAGAGACAGCGAGAGAGAGAGAGAGAGTGAGTTGTCTTAGTGTGTGGTGCGACAACATGGGCCTCAGTTTCACAAGTGTGGTACCGAGCAGAAGTGGGGGGAACTAGACTGGGTCATAAAGTTAATGGGGGGATTCCGGCCAACTCTTGTATCTCGGGGCCAACTACAACTTCACAACTGCTCCACACAGCTGGGTCGCGCGAGGGCCCTATTGCGCCCTGGGAAAGCAAGAAAGGAAGAAAGAAAGAAATAAAGTTAAAATTCCCAGCACCAGCAACCTGGGGGAAGTGGTTTTCACAGTAACAAAGCACTCGGGCGCGCTCGTGAGCGGAGAGGTCCGTCAGGAAGCCCAGCAGAAGAGAGGAAGAAACATATGAAGAAGAGCACGGTGCCAAGACCGAGGCATGTGAAAGATCCCATGCAAGCCATGCAAGCCCACAATCACTGTTACCCAGAAAATTGAAGTCGAAGCCTGAACAGACTTGCAAGCTGTTCAAACTGCTACCCCAAGTGATACACTATGGATGTAGGGCCCTCTGGCGGATGAACCAGATCATGCTCCCCAAATCCATGTGCTGATGCAAACATGCCCAGGCAACACGAATTTGTGTGCTAGCCCGAAGTCGGCTGTCCATCAGTTCGTCTGGCCTTTACTGCGCCATTTATCGCCATTTTCGGAAAAAGGGAAGGGGATCAATCGGGGGGGTGAGGGGGGGGGTGGGGGGGCGGAGATCTGATTTCTGCAGAGTGGGAAGTGTAGTGGGAAGTCGATTCGCAGTGCACTGGGGTAGTATCACCAAGTCAGACCAATAGGCCCAATAGGATTAGAAGCTGAGCATCACGAAAAGAGCTAGAAGGCAAACCCCCGTCAACTCCAGTTGAACAAACTTTGACGGGTTGACAGGCCAATGAGCCAGAGCTGGGAAAACAGTGAGCGGGTGTTTTTGCCTACAGACCTTTGCCACATGCCTTCGCAGCCCCTCCAAATGGGGAGGGGTTAGAGACGGTCAAGTCGTCACCTGGGAACCGGGCCCTCAGGGCGAGGCCGCCTCGGCAAATAGGGCCGGTAATTTCGGGAGGCTTGTTGTGTTGGGAAGGGGTAAGGCTAAAGTAGGGGTAAGGGTGGGAAGGGAGGCACGTCGTCCGCGGCTGGACACTGGTCGGCTAGTGGGGGTACCCATTCCGGGCCACAAAGATCAATAAACGCCTCAAACCTGGCCTCCTCGGCAGACAGGGTTCATTGGTTGTTTTCACGTGGTGCAGGCGACTTCCCGCTGTACACTGTTTTGCACTTCGCCCCAGGTAATCCTGCCCGTTCCCTCATGGTTCCCGGGTGCTGTTTTTGTTGCGTTCTTTCGACCACTCCGACACTTGATTAGAACGCACGGCTGGAGGCGTTTCATTGGGGGAGGGTGGGGCGCCAGTCTAACATCAGTCCGAACATTTCATTAGAACGCACTGGTGGAGATCTCAATTCAGGGCCTAACCTTTTTGCCTCCAGTCCGTTTTAGCCCAGAGTCGGCCACCATACTGAACTACGCGATCTGCACGAAGGATGGACCGTGACCCTTCCACCGCAGCTCTGCTCCGATAACCCAGCCACCCCTGCCCCGACCTGTCCCGAGTGCGCCTCCAGGCGGCTCTCTCCACCGTGCGAAGGAAGGAACGGAGGAAGGTTTGGGAGGGTCGATCGGGAAGAGAACCAGCAGCGTGAGACAGAAGTTCCACCGCCCAACCTGGCATCACCGTATGGGGCCAATTCGAGGGAAGGCTCGCGGACAAAAAGTTGATGAAGGGTTCGTTGCGGGGGGGTTTCTCGAAGAAGAAGAAGAAGAGGGGAGATGTTGTTTTTGTCGCAGCATGGGATAAATACAGTGGCTTTCGTTTCTTTTGGAAAAAACAACGCAAGCCTTGAGTTTTGGCAAGTGGCTGCTGAGGTACATGCGAGACAAGCTGATAGTACAACTGCATGGCTGCGGCTACAAAGGTGACGTTGACTTTCTTTATCTCCCAATCGATTTCAGGATGGGGGCAGCTCTCCTTTGCAGATTTAGGGTTTTCACCTTGCACAAGGCGTGCTCGTTGCTGGTGACATTCACTCTTGTGGAGGCATTGTGCCACCAGCAGAGTTTGCCAACCATTACGGATCTCCCGTCAAGATTTCCACTAAAGATCTTTCAGGTATGGGTTTTTGCACGTCGTGACTCAGCTTTTTGGCTTGGGGTTACAGGTCGCCCAGATAAGCTCCAACTCCAAAACGGCAACAACAACCTTGCAGCAAGTCCGGGACCTCTTTACAGAGCAATGACACATGGAACGCTAGCAAGGCTAGATCTCTGAAGCTGTAAGTATGTCGTCCTGGGGCTGTCGGGCAATCAGCCCACACCGTTGAGGGTCGACGGCTTCCTCATGCCTTGCACATGAAATGGTTTGACCCGCCTGTTGTTGAGACATGCCGAGAGGAACAAGTGCAATGTTGGATATTGCTTCATCAACTTCCGCACGCCGCAAGCGCTGGCGCGCTTCCGGGATGATTTCCATGGACGTCGGAGCATCTGGGTTGCAAGATGGCCGTTGGATTTGCCGTTGCAACTCTCTGGGTGCCCAGCCTACTTGGCCGAGGCTGTGAGAAGCTCCCTGGTTTCAACAGTAAGAAAGTCTTGCAGGCCGCCCACAGGAAGTGAGGAATAAGCATGACATACGTGCATTGATCTACATACATATACACCGCATGTATACATATGTGCCCCTTCCCAACCCCGGCAGCCAAAAAACGCCTTCTCACCCCTCCCACCCATCACACCCCAGCCCACCCTTCCGCCCTTCCGCCCTCGCGCCCACCCATCAACCCGGCACAGAACAGGAGATTTTTTGAGTTTTTTGCTGCACGTCATGTGCGTATGACACTGATGTCTGCGGGCTCCGCATGCTCTAGGCCTCAAGACGAACCAGAGGTAGCCAAAATGAATCAAGTAAGTTAATTCTTGGCCCGAACCCTCCGGGAGGACTACTTTCTTTCCATTGCGGGAGCCAAAACGCCCCAAAATGCGCAAACAAAAAACCGAGATTTGGTGGTCACGAAATTGACGGCCCCAAGAAAGTGGAAATGCGGGAGGCTGCGGGGAGTACTTCCTATAACACCCACATAATGGAAATCGCGGCGGGTCCACGATGACGATAAGCACAGAGACTTGAATTGCTTAAGTCAGCAATTGCCCACGATGTGCTAGCGGATATTTTTGAGTTGGAGGCTGCAGCAAAAACTGCGATTCCTCACTGCTCCGCTTTCAGGATCATGCTCAAATCATTTGCCCCTGACCTGCCCCGTACGGGGCCGGAAGAGTTTGAGATTCATCAAACTCCTGAAAAGAATGGAAAGCCCGGCGGGCTCGTGATGACGACACGCACAGAGAGCTTGACTTGCTTGAGTAAGCGGTTGCCCACGACGTGCTCTCGCATTTTTTGGAATTGGAGGCTGCAGCGGAAAAATGCGTGCTTACTACTTCATCTGCGGTATCGCCAAATCATTCGCTCCTGAGCTATCCCCGAAAATAATGGAAAGATACTGATTGGCCCAAGTAAGCGGTTGCCCACGACGTGCTCTCGGTTTTTGGAGTTGAAGGCTGCAGCAGAAAGCTGCGATTCCTTACTGCTTCGCTCGCAGGATCGATGCCCAAATCATTCAGTCCTGACCTACCCCCGAGAATTAGAGAAAACAAATCGGGGAGAGCCTTCCAAAGAACATTTCCCAGAAGGGAAACAAACAAACCCACACGGAAACACAACTACTCAATGAGGAGGACAAGAAGAGGAGAAGAGGAGCGGAAAAGGACACAAGAGGACAGCCCGTTTCGCCCACCCGCTCACCTCTCACCCCCCCTCCCCTTCAAAAAAGCACGGCTTAATTTTTGCTGTTATTCTTATTTTTTTTTTTTTTTTTTTTTTTGGGGGGGGGGGGGGGGAGGGGGTGGGCCGCCCCCCTTATTAATCAGATCCTCGGAGATGCTCCTTGCGTGACCACATGCTTGGAAGTGAATGCATTCGTTTGTCAGCAAGCACAAGCGCTGACCTTGCGCAGGTCTCCCCGGCCCGTGTGCAGGGGCTTGAGGTGAGGACAGGGGCTGTGAGGGATTTCCTGACAGCGCGACAGTGTGGAAGGGGTCGGCCATTCAAGGCTCCATTCGTCAATCAAAATTCGTGGTTCAAACAAGTGCCACCTGAAACCCTAACACAAAGAGCTCTTCAGCTGTTAAACACCACTTCCTCCGAAGAGATGTGACTGCTACCTGGTTGGAAGAATCTTCATCGATGTGTATGATCCCTACAGTAGCGGCCCTAGCGGCCATAGCGATGTGGTTCAAAGTTTGTGCAAGGTAACAAGTGTATGCCCCCATCTGTGACACTTGTGCTTGTGTCACTGTTGACGGCCTTACGGCCTTGCCTCCTTGGCTTTCGCTGAAAGTTTTTACCGTATGCACGTGCTCAGCGCATCTCGGGATCAAATGTTGGAGGCCAACATCCTTCGCCTTCAAGGCAGCCCCATCATGGAGAATGCGGCAATGGAGCGGGAGTGGCCAGTATTCCCAGCAGGGGCTTCGTGTGGCCACTGGCTGTGCTGAAAAAAGGGACAGCGCCGCAGATTTCTGCAACATCTGCAGTTCCAGGCTTCCGATTCTCCTGGGCCGTTCAGGGCAGCTCCTCGAATTCCCAATGATTCTGCCACAGGCGAGGTTCTTCAAGACTTTGCAGTCGGTGGCGTAACCCTACAAATAGTGGGGAGAGCGCAGCCCACCTGCAACCTCACGCGGCAAGGCAGGCAGCGTGGAGCCTACGAAGTCCACGCGGCTTTCCGGATTTCGACCTCAGGCGCGTGCAAGTAGAAGGAAGCCTTCGACTGAACAGAATTAGGCTTTGGGGCAAGGGATTTAATTTATGCAAACGGGTATCGAAAGATCTTTGTAGAGATCCTCGTGTTGGGCTTAAGGTCATGCTGTCAGCACGCGAAAACGACAGGAAAAGCCCGAACTTTCCAACAAAGTTCCTTCACCCATACAGGGTACCACAGGCCCTCGAGGGCACTAGCGATGCCGCCCACAAAAACAATGCCACTTTTCGTGCCAGCCGTGCCATGAGGACCCGACACTGGCCTTCGCGGCAGCCAGCAAATCCACAGGGTGACGGACGTGCTTTCCGAACAGCATGTTTTCCATTTTCACGGCACAGGTCATTTTCCCGCAAGCAGCGTCGCGAGCAACCTCACACCAGGACACTACCGATACGACACTGCTTTGCGCCTTCGTGTGACGGCATGTCTGCGCACCGATGCATCACTTGTCCGGCCCAGTTCCATGCGCCCGTCGCGCTGCGTGTAATCAATCACTTTAGTGTGGCGAAGCTCCGCGGCGGAAGGGGTTTCACTTCCTTTGACTTAACATCCATGGACCCAGCTCAGCTCAATGGTTTAATAATCTGACAAGGACGATGCTCGGCATCCTTAATTCAACTAACGGTTCCCAACCAGGACCCAGCACGCGGTTAGCCCGATCTCAGACGCCGCCGTACCTGGGAGCCGTCCTGCGTCACACACCCAACAGAGTCCCACCACTTATCCGTGTGGACCGTGAACGAACCGAATGGCATACCGGCATATACTTGTAGTGGCCTGTCCCTTCCGTGGGCCCCCGATGGGCGAGCTCCGTATGGGCGAGTCTTCCATAGGCCCCTGAACGGTGTGGCGCATCCGCGTTATTTCCCCTCGCAAGGCATCAGTTTGTGCTGGGGCGTCGGCATATAGGCAAGGTGCGTCGGCGTGTCTGCACGCGCCCCGGAACAGCACATTGGCGAATCGTCCCTGGTGAGCAGCGTAATGGCGTATCGGCATGAAGCTATTCAGGACACTACTCGCACGGTGTACACACGGCATCAATCTGCCTGGATTTGGATCTCTCCGTTTCGCTCTCTCGCTCTCTCTCTCTCTCCCTCTCTATCTCTCTACTGGTACTAGTTTGCCAGTATCTGTTTCTCTCTATGTGTGTAAAAATGTACAGTATTACCCCCCATCAAACTGATTTACATATTAGTCCATATGTCTCTGCCATTCTACCATTTGCGATTGTGTGCCATTCGAACCTTCTTTGACACGAGTAAAATGCTTTTCTCCGATCCCAGAAAGTGCTGATTGGATATCGGAATCCACTTCACCGACTGACGAATGCGGAGCACATTGGAGCGCAGGCTGCTACCAGAAGAAAGCGGACAAGCACTAACATGGCCATTGCCTGTCACGGCACCATCTTCCAGTGGCACGGCAAGATTTCTTGTGCTATGAATCGCTGACATTTTGTAAGGCCTCACCTTCCCAAGGTAACTCCTTTTGGAGACCGAACTCATGCTGTGAGTAGGTTTTTGTGTGTAGAAATGCGCCGACTCTTTGTTCATTGGCGGGCGCTCGCATCAGTTCCAAGAACGGGGCCGATTTTTGCCGAGCCCAAAGGCCTTTTGAGTATGACGTGCCTGTGACAGCCGTGGTACAGTTGCAAGGGCTGTTCGGCTATGAAATGCAAATGCCTGGGGGCATTCAATGCTTTGTGAGCCACACCAGCGTCTCGCGGCGTCGGCCAACTAAGAGATAGCCATAGCCATGAACGCGCCTTCTCGGTCATTTTAGCATTGGAAGAGTTTCGAGGGCCAGGCTGCAAGCGTAATCTTACGTAATCTTAGGATTCTTAGGTCTTAAAGGCAAGGAGTACAGAGGAGTGCAGAGGCAGCCCACAGAGTTGCAAGATGTTGCAGGTACGTCTTTGTAAATTTGGCCCTGCTGCGCCGTTCGGGACTGTTGGGATGTTTTGGTGCTTTCGAGCTGCGGTTTGATGCAACGGGCAGTTCCGTTCTTTGTTGGCTGTGTCAGCGTGGCCACACAGGAACTTCCGCAAATCATGCCGGAACATAGACTCCAGACCTGCTATAGACCTGCTGGCCTACTCGTGACACACCTGAGCCGTCATAGAAATCATGCAGTAAGCATCATAGACTCATAGAGCTTCAGGCAGAAGATGGAAGTTCCTTTTCACCTTGGTCCATATCCTCTGGGCGTGTGGCTGCAGCACCAATCTGGCCATGTACTATACAGATGTATGATATGATGTATGTGTATATTTCAAGTTGCAGTAGCAACTCGGATTGTAGTTGCCGGCATGCTTGTATGATTCTTTGGCAATGAAGTAGTGCTCTGAGTGCTCTAGTCAACTTTAGTCTTCTTTGTCAGTGGCGACTTCTGTCCTCATCGGCTCAAAGGCTGTCCATAGCTTTTCCTTTGAGCGATGTGTGGTACGCTTTCGCAACGAGGGAACGGCGGAGTCAACTGACATTGCCGCATCCCTTCAAGTTGTTAATTATCCGAGTTGACAGCTGAAGTCCAGCCCTGAAGCTGTGGGCGCCGCTTTGATGGGTCTGCCATCTGGATCCAAGCGGTGTTGCCCTGTTTCGCTTGAAGGCTTGAAAGCCCACGGCTAGCTGCTAGCTCGTCACATGCGGGTTCTGTGCGGATTCTTCGCTGTGAAAGCAGGACACAAGAATCCTGGTAAAAGTTGGTGGTCCGATCTTGCTGAACACTGCTGAACCTCAGACCTAAGCAAGTGTGAGACGGGCTGCTGAAACGTGTTGCAGGTTCTCAGCTGTCCCTTCTAAGGATTAAGACTGTCCTCTTGATTCTGCACTGTTGATTTTCGCAGCGTAGTCTTGCAATCAATTACGGGTTCGCATTGGCCCATTTCTGTGCCAGTTTTTCCCACTCATTTCACTTCGTTCGTGTGAACGAGTGGCTTTCCGTCTTTTGTTCTACCCTTCTCTCCTTCCTGTATCTGCCACTGCCTCGCTGCCTCGTTCTCCCAATCGCACCTTTTGCAATCATCGATGCCCTAGGCTTGGAAATAGCGGGGACCTCAGGCAAAGTGAGCTCGCAGCCATTTGCAGGCTCCACGGCACGCCTCTTTGAGCTTAGCATTGCCTAGCCTTTTTCTTTTGCGCACTCCAAGGTAGTGGATGCATTTGACCCGCCGAGAACCTTGCTGCGATGGGGCATGGGCAACACTGCAGGCATCCAGATATGTGATCCCAAAGTGTGTGTAGCATTGTGTAGCCATGTGTAGCCAAAGTCCAGTGCTCGGCTGATCTCGGCTGATCTCGGCTGAGCATAGTTCCATGTAGTTCCCTGCAAGCTGCGCAACCGCAGGGGAGGAGCTCGCTTCCCACTCTGGCCGTGTCCTGCAGGATGCCCGGGAAGAGTATTACAGTATGAAGTTTGAGTGCAATTGCGCGGCTCAGCTTCAGAACCTGCCCAAACTGTCGGTTGGACTTTTTCGACATCTTTGACTCTTTGACCACCTCGCACCCCGTTAGCGACCGGCATAGTGGCATAGCACTGCAGGGTTGAAGCTGGTGCTGGGCAGGACGGTGGTAGTTGGTCCACGTTTTGGGTGCAGGCCAGCCGATTGTTGCAGCAGGCTAGCTTGCTTGTGCAGAGCTACACATCAGAGCACCACCGCCACTACAACCACAATAACCCTACTCGTAGCTATTCCTGCCACGCTTATGTTACTGGTGTTGCTGCATGTCATCGCCTCTACAGTTGCTGTTCATAATGTTGCTCTTGCTATGCTTGCTTTTCGTTACCTAGTACTTTCATCATTGTGATGTGCAGGCTGCTCGGGTACGCCTGTGCAGCTGAACTTCGAAGGAAATAACGCATCACAACAATGAAGAGGTCAATCGAAACCACAGTGAACCGGGGCACATCGTGGCATGTGTCAAGCAGACGCAATAGTGCGCACGTGCCTCGAAGCAATATGCACCTGCACGTGAGAGATGGTGAGAATGCGAAATGTCGAGCCAAAAGCGATTACCTACACGAGAGCAGCGATCAGGCACCTACAGAAGCTCGCCGCAATGCACACATGCACATGCACATGCACATGCACATGCACATGCACATGCACATGCACATGCACATGCACACACACACACACAGACGCGGAGACACAGAGACGCAGGCGGGAGCCAGGCTTGGAGCACTGCCTTTGAGTGACCGACCACGGACGCAACGAGACTTAAGCGGCAGGTCCTCCTTCAAAGAGGAAACTGTGTAAGCTGAAAAATAACTCCGGTCTCTGAGGAGAACCCGGTGGCGGTAAGAACACCAGCTTACACCGCTTACTTTTATCGCAAACGCGAGGCCGCCTCGGCAAGGGTACTGGGGCGAAGGGGCAGTGGGGGTGAGGGGGGGGCGGCAGCATGCCCAGGGGGTGGTTTTTGGGGTTGGGGGGGGGGGGGTGGGGAGGGCAGGGAGGGGGAAGTAAAGGGGGGGGGGTCGCGATAGGCGGTGGTAAAGTTGAAAGCCTTTTAGGGGGGGTGGCTTAGGGCTTAGGGCTTAGGACTAGGGCTGCGGGCTTCGGGCTTAGGGCTAGGGCTTAAGGCTGAGGCTTGGGACTTGGGTAGAGCTTAGGGCTTGAGGGTGGGCTTATTCGGGCTGAGGGCGGCTTACTTAGGCTTAGGTCTTAGGGCTGAGGGTGTAGGGCTCAGGACATAGGGTATGTAGGGCTCAGGGCTCTTAGCTCTTAGGGCTCAGGGCTCAGGGCTTAGCTATGGGGCTTCGGGCTTAGGGGGCCGAAAGCGCTGATTCTCGTACCCCCGTTCCCTGGGCCCAAATCCCCCCTTGTCCGGGCACGTCGGCCGCGACTGGATACAGGTCGACTACGAGGGGTACCCATTCCGGGCCAAAAACACTTCTTAGTGGTTCTCTCGACTTAATGCCCATCGAGCACAGACATGCAGTAAAGTCCGGAGTATGTCATGTCGCTAGTGTTTTTCGCTGGCGTTCTTGAGTGGAGTTTGCCGGTTTTGCATGTTGGTATTGCGCGACTGGTGTGATGGATGAGGACGCTTTGTCCAAAACCCCAAACTGTTAATTTAATATGATGGATCTTACCATTGCTTACAGCTTCTTAAAAGAGGTCATCCTTACGCGAATACGTAGCCAAGAGCATGCGGAAGAACTTTTTAGGCAAATACGCATTCAAGCTAGGAACCAGTTTGGACTGGCCTCTCATGGAGGATTCACCCAGCACGCCGCCTTTTTCAGCAGCAAAACAATTGTCCCTCATGTTTATGGGGGCGAAGAGAGATTTGGGAACATCTAGGCTGGAAATGCACAGGTCAGGCGCTGAGGAGCATCAAGACACTATTTGCGACAACCACCGAGAAGACTTCGGCCAAAATGCCCTTTATGAGCTAGCACGAAAAATACGAAAGGACGTGGCCAGTGGACCGAAACTCTCTTGCATGGATCGCAAGGCGAGGCCAATGTGCTAGGCAATAATATTCTTAGTTAGTCAGTTCATATCACGTTTAAGCTGCATGGTAGGGAGCCGGTCGAGCACACAGTTTAGTATGTGGTCCCCCTCCGCCTGTCTTGCAAGTGTGTGGCAATGATAGCGACATACTACTGCTCATCCGGCTTGACGGCGAGACGAGTGGGGGGAACAGACATGTGGCATAGCGGACACTGTTGTGGCTGGGTTTCGCCTGAACCAATGGTTAGTTGAGGCCCCCGTTCTGCCTAGTGATGTACTAGTGCTGTTGGTGATTGTATTGCACTGGTTCATGTAACATGCATTTATGGGATGGGCGGCACCTTGTGGCACTCCACCGCCTGGATGGGTTTGTTGCTCGTAGAATACTGTTCTGCATCCTGCTGGCAAGCTGGGGGTGGAGCCCGTCGACATTATCCGGTCAAGACCGGCGCCCGAGTATGGGACCCTCCGGAGCCTTGCGTGCGCGCTAGTTGGGAGAGTCGAAATGGTAACACAGCAGTTTTTTTGTCTGTGCTGGTACTTAAACGACGAGGAATAGGAGGAGGAGGAAGAGGAGGAGGAGGAGGAGGAGGAGGAGACTACGACCACTGCCATGGTTACTGCTACGGCTATTGCTTTTGCTATTGCTATTGCGATTGCTACTGCTATTGCTATTGCTATTGCTATTGACTACTTCTACTACTACTACTACTACTACTACTACTACTACTACCACTACTGCTACTGCTACTGCGACTACTACTACTACTACTACTACTACTACTACTACTACTACTACTACTACTACTACTACTACTACTACTACTACTACTACTACTACTATATACTACTACTATATACTACTACTACTACTACTACTACTACTACTACTACTACTACTACTACTACTACTACTACTACTACTACTACTACTACTACTACTTTACTACTACTACTACTACTACTACTACTACTACTACTACTACTACTACTACTACTACTACTACTACTACTACTACTACTACTACTACTGCTACTGCTACTGCTACTGCTACTGCTACTGCTACTGCTGCTACTGCTATCGCTACTGCTACTGCTACTACTACTACTACTACTACTACTACTACTACTACTACTACTACTACTACTACTACTACTACTACTACTACTACTACTGCTGCTACTGCTACTGCTACTACTGCTTCTACTGTTCCGACTGCTACTATTGCTTCTACTGCTACTGCTGCTACTACTGCTACTACTGCTACTACTGCTACTACTGCTACTACTGCTACTACTGCTACTACTGCTACTACGTCGAATGCTTCTTCTACGTGTATTACTATTCAATTGGCTAACCCAGCCAGAGGCTCACCGAGTTTTAGTCATCGCTTTGATGTATTGTGCAACTGCTCGTTGGCCCGGTATATGTTACATGCGGCCACTGGCTCGGCACGGCAGCATCGCCAAGCCTCGCAAAACCACGCCGATGCGAAGCTGCGAGATTTCTTGGGCCATCTTCTGGTATATCGGCTAGTTAATCGCTTGGTCCAAGTCCACACCTATAACTTCACGCTGATCGTTAGACCGCTGCCATGTTTGCCTCTGCGCCATGGCAAGACACTCCGCGGAGCACAAGCTCCGCAGGCTTTCGTTTTTTTCCTAGAGCTGACACATGCTAACGCAGCTATAATTTGGATGATTCGAGCTCGTTTCGAGCGGAAGCCAGGAGCTTGCGTTGGTGGCCCCTCTGGCAGGGAGAAGTGGGAGAAGTCGATATGTGTCCCGCCTGTAGGCCATGTGCAAGGGCAGTGCTCAAAGTCGTCGTGACAGCGGTCACGCCGCATCCGGACTTGTGTCACTGCTGGTGCAAGGCGCTCGGGTGGCAGCGGCTGCATCCAGCGTACTGTTCACTGCTGGCTGCGCCAGGGGGCGCAAGCAGGCCACTTCCTTACTTGCTAAGCAACTTTGCGGTTTGATGTTTGATATATGTTGTGATGTTCGGGGTTGCACAGCGCAGTAGACTCAGTAGACGCTGTAGGATTCAGTAGGTCTTGCGAGCAAGCGAGAGGGAGCCTGGGGCCATGCGCAGCCACCCCAACATCCAAAGTGGCTCCAAAGTGGCTCCATGTCTTGTGAGGCTTGGCAAGCTTGGCTGCAAAACTCGGGGAGAAGCTCTGTCCCTGGGAGGCGGCCTGGAAGTGATTTGAAGATCAGAGCAGAATACGTGTTCTCTCATCAAGCGCCTATATTGCAACCGGCATGAATCCAGCCACATTCACATTGTGATCGTCAACGGTTCAGGCAATCTTGCTCTGGCAATTCTGAGACTGAGAAAGATGATTGGCTTCCTGGCTTGACCAGACTTGCGTCACCGTACGTGACTGAATCCTGACGACTTGAATCGTCTTGATATGTCTTGACTCCTTGCCTCGCCAAAAAAGGTTCTCTTTCTAAGCGCTAAAGATATCCCTTTCGCAGCCTCAGGTTGCAGAGGTGTAGGCGGCCTAAGTTGATGTGCGCTGCCATACGCTCATGCCAAGGTCCCTGAGCTCGGAACGGGTTCAGATTTTAGCCCTGCTTCTCTTAGCATGTGTTGCAAATCAAGCATGCCTGACCCCCAGTTTACAGTTCGAGTCGTGTTGCAGAATGCGGACATGTGCGGACCAGAATGTACTTCAAAACTTTGCGCTAAAGGCAGAGCCCTGCCGTTCTACTTGGTGGATTTCTCTGTGGATGCCCAGGCGCCGCAAGCCGCAAGCTTGCACGAATACAGAATGCCGGAATGTATCGAAGCTGAGACTTTCGAAGCTGCCTTCTTGCAGGCAGATCGCGCCATGAATCAGGAGCTGGCATTGTTGAACAATCAGCATGAAAGTCTTGCAGCATATTGCAGCATCTCCAGCCTGCTATAGGCTGCTGCTCGTCTCCAACGTTGACTTTATGCTTGGCTGGGTATAGTCATCTCATGTCATCTCTTTTCTCGCGGCTTCGTGCCAGAGGAGTTGGTTTTCAGCTCTGCTGACTATGGGCTCTTTGCAACCCTGGGATTCACCATCCCGCATCTTGGCTTCGTTTGTTGCCGTTAGAACTGCCATTGCAGACGCTGGTCGCTGCTCCTGTTTCGCTTTGTC